GTCTCTTGTCTCTCCAAATAAATTTGATAATTTCCCTGAAAAATGAATTTGGTATCTGGATTGGGATTGCATTGATTTGCTAACTTTTGAAGCCTGAACTTGATCCTTTCTGCGTTCAAGACGCATTAATATTAATTGTTGAGTGGGATGCAAAAGTTGGAAACAAAGAATTTTTAGTTAGAAAATATGGTCTTGCTGACAGAGATGAGGCCCGAGAGTGAATGATAGAATTGTGATGTTGGCGAAGAGTACTGTATATACATTTATCATGCCCCTATATCATGGACTGCCAGAGAACAAACAAATCATCTTTCTCGGAGGAAGTATAGTCATGGTGCTCCTTACAGGCAGAGAGGGTGAGACTTTGTCTCACGTGCTTTGGGCATGTTATCAAGAGGTGTCAGTCCTGAGAGGAGGACATCATGCTTAGAAAGGTGAAGGGGCAGAGAAACAGACCCTCCACAAGATGGACTGGTACAGAGAGTGAAATAATTTGCTTAGGTCAGTGGAGCTTGAGAGGAAAGTCACTGTGAGCTGGAGTTGACCTAACAACAACAACAGCAACAGGGTAGTTGTATTTTTAGGGTTTTTTTAGGAACTGTCACAATATTTCCCCCAACAGCTGTATTATGTTGTATTTTCACCAACAATAGATAAGGCTTCTAATTTCTCCACATCCACACCAACATGCTATTTTCTTCCTTCCTTCCTTCCTTCCTTCCTTCCTTCCTTCCTTCCTTCCTTCCTTCCTTCCTTCCTTCCTCCCTCCCTCCCTCCCTTCCTTCCTTTCTTTTTAAAATCTCAACCATTTAGTTTGTTTAGCATCCAGAATGAACAGATATGGAAAAAGGATATAACCCTGAGGCACACCTTTCCTCATTTTAAACCAAGCAGAGTTGCCTTGTTCTGTTCAAACAGTTGCTTCATGGTCTATGTATAGGTTTCACATGAGCACAATGAAGTGTCCTGGGATTCTCTTTTTCTCAAGGTTATAAATAATTTGTTATGATTCATATAGCCAAATGATTTTGTGTTGTTAATAAAACAGAAGTAAACATCTTTCTGGTATTCTCTGCTTTCAGCCAAGATCCATCTGATTTCAGTAGTGATATCCTTTGTTCTATAGCCTCTTCTAGATCCAGCTTGAATTTTAAGCAGTTTCTTGTTGATACATAGGGCTTATTGATACAAGAGACATAACAATAAACAACTGTTTTTTTAATAATCTTCAGAAGATTTTGCTTGCACTGATGATACTGTATTAATAACTTTGCATTGTATATTGTAATAACATGTACAATGATACTAATTATATTGTTTGATAATTTCCACATTCTATTGGGTCACTTTTCTTGGGAATGGCAACAAATACGAATCTCTTCCAGATAACTGACCAAGAAAATCTTCTAAATTTCTTGGCATAAACTAAATATATCAAGTTTCTTGGCATAGCCCTGAGCATGTCTAAGGCTGTATCTATTGCATCACCTCAATTTCTAGGGTCTCATTTTTTTGCTAATGCCTTTAGTACAGCTTGCACTTCTTTCTTCATCATGATTGGTTCTTGATCATATATTACTTCCTGAAATGGTTCAGTGTCAAACCACTTTTCTGAAATGGTATAGTGACTCTTTGTATTTCTTCCATCTTTTGTAGAGGTGTCCTGCATAATTTAACCTTTGCTCTATGAAATCTTTTTGTATTACAACTCAAAACTTGTATTTATTCTTCAGTTCTTTTAGCTTGAGAAATTCCCAGAGTATTCTTCCCTTTTAGTTTTCTAATTAAAATTTCTTGCATATTTCATTATGGTACTTTGTCTTATCAAGCTGCCCTTTACAATTTACTGCTCAGCTCTCTTACTCCAGTATTTCTTCCCATTGTTTTGGTTTCTTAATGTTCTACTGCGATTTTCAGAGTCTCTTCTGACATCCATTTTTATCTTTTCTTTCTAAGGAAAGGTCTGTCACTTCATTCTTACCCGTATAATAGACTCTCCTAAGTGAACAATGACCAAAGATAACAGATGAAGAATTGATGCCTTTGAGTTGTGGTGCTGGAGAAGAGTATCGAACATACTGTGGGCTGCCTAGAGAACCAACAAACAGGTCTGTCCTGGAGAGGGTGAGACCAGGTTGCTTTTTGGAGGCAAAGATTTTGAAGTTCCTTTTCACATACTTTGGGCATATTGCAAGGAGGGGCTGGTCACTGGAGAAGGACATCATGCTTTGAAGAGTGGAAGGACAGTGCAGGAGAGGAAGACCCTGGATACTAGGAATTGACTCAGTGACTGGGGTAATAGGAGTAGGTGTGTCAGAGACAGTGAGATTGGCATATTTCAGAGTTCAGGGCCATTATGCATAGGATCATGAGTTGTAGTCAACCTAACAGCACGAAACAACAAATTTCAGATCTTAATGGGGTTTTTCCTCTCTTTGACCCTCCACATTTCTAAATATGATATCCTTTTCCAAGAAATAGCCTCTCCTAGCAACATGCTCAAAGTATGGGAGACAAAGCCTTGTCATCCGTGCCTTCAAGAAGCACTCAGGCTGTACCTTTTTAAAGACATACCTGACCCCCACTGAGGTGACTGACAAGGTGACAGGAGCAATGGACTCAAGTTTATCAGAAATAGTGAGGTTGGCAAAGTATAGGACAGGATTTAGGTCTGTTTTTCACAGTGTCATACGATGATACCTAACAACAACAATGTTTCATATGCTTCCTGTTTTGTTTTGGTTTTTTTTCTTGATTTTCTTAAAGTCTTCCTTGATGGCACAGTACTTAGGTGCTGTAGAGTCTGTTCTGGTGCTTGTCTATTCTATCTATTACAGAGCAGGCTCCACAGGCTGTAATTTTAACAGAAGTAGATTTCCAGGTGTTTTCCTGCTGCCAAAGGATTCAAGGAATATCAACATGTCAACAAAGTGAGTGAACAGCCTAAACTACCATGGAGTGCCCCTCCCTTCCCTCCCTAGAAGACCACCCACCTGGCTAAACCACAGTGGAATGTCCCTCCCTTCCCTGTCTAAAGACCCTCCCTATAAAACTATAAAACCTGCCCTAATCCACTTTAGGGCATGGTATTTCCCTGGTCTGTCCCTCTGCCTGTTTCTCTCTGCACACCAAGGAATCCTGCCTGGGAGACCCCTTAATAAAGCTTCTTTAGCTTCATTTCTTTCTTTGGTCCCTTCCTTGAGTCCTTGGCCTTATGTCCAGTGCAGAGACCTACCAGTTTGAACCACTACCCTTTGGGTTAGCAATAGAGCACAAGGCATTTGCACTTCTAGACATCTTTGTTGGTGATGATGCTATATGCTGTAATGACTCACAGCTGACCCTCCAGCAGGTTTTCAAAGGCAGTAAGTCTCATGAGAGGCGATTGTCCATCCTTCTCCTGCAGAGCAGCCAGTGGATTCTAACCAAATGCCTTCGGATTGGCAGCACTACTCCTTACCAGCAGGCCATCAGTGCTTCCCTAGGGACTTTGGTTCTGTTGTTGAACACGTTAAGTTAGAACCTACCCATAGCTGACCCTCAAGTGGGTTTTCAGAGGCAGTAAAAAATTACATGAGAAGAGACTACCCATCTTTCTCTTGCAAAGCAGCTGGTGGATTCAAACTGTGGACGTTTGCATTGGCAGCACAATTCCTTATTACTGAGCCACCAGAGGCCCCCTAATTAAATTTCCTCGTTATCTATTTCCTCTTCTTTCAGACTGCACATCCAATTATTTTTTCATTTTCATCATTTTCTTGCATCATTCAGGAGGTGGCCTGTTTCCTCTGAGGTTGGTGGCCCACACTGACGGCAAACTGCCACCATGGAGAAGGGGCCTTTGCCACACTGTCTGATCACAAACAGGTTTATCACTGGCAGCATTACCAGGACAAAGGTCTCTTTATATATAGAGTGTGAGGATGGTACTGGATAGGTTCAGGTCTGTTGTTGACAGAGTCACTATGAGTTACAGGGGACTTGATAGCAACTAACAATTATGTCTTATGCTTTTTATCATTAAACATTAAATAAACCATTAAACAAAAATAATAACTACAATTAGGACATTTAAAAAACCAATATAAATAGATATAATCGGGTACTTCATTTATTAAGATTTAGTTACTATCACTGCTTAATTTACCCTGGTTTCTCTTTAAGCCTCAATTGGCATAACTTATAAATGTGTAATGAATATCTCAACTTAAGCTTTCCTGGTATTTGACAGATGGTTAATGACAAAAGCCCACAGGGATGGTTTCTGTTTAGCCTTTGATTTTGTTTTTTATTGTGCTGATAATGTGTAAGTAAGTATCATCACTAACTTTTATTGTACTCCAAATTCCTTGTCCTTCCCCTGCTTTCTCTTTTGTTCTGAGCGGAGCAGGGGTGAGGAACAAGGCAGAAGCATACCATAACAGCCTGCATGATAAGCCTCATAAAGTTATTTTTCTCAATTAGTGGTTTCAGCGACAAGTTTACTGCTTTGCTATAAGTGGTCTTATTCCCTGTGCATCTGTTCATTCACTCACCTATGATATGCCTCATCTAGTCCAACAAAATTGGTCCCCAGCATTTAGACTGCCTTACTTTAAAAAGACCATCTCTCTTTCAGAACATAACACTTGAAAGTAATTTAAATAGAAAGTAACAAGACTTTAAAGCAGAGCTATAAACATGATTTACTTGTGAGTACACTTACTTCTCTTGCAAATGATATTCATTTTATAGCAATTTTCCCTGGGTGTGTACCCTCTGCTTTTTCCCCAAATCCTTACTACTGACCCAAAGTCGTGTACTTTGCTTCAAAGACTCACATGGCTGGAAGGATCCCTTGGTACACTAAACCACAATTCAGGAAACTCCCATGAAATGACAATACTACTTAGCCACAATTACTGACTTTATTACATAGCCAATTAGCAAATTTTTTTAATTAGAGAAAGAAAAATCCCTTCGTTATTATTTTTGAAGTTATATGAAATGCACTTTTACACTCATTTTCCATTGACAGCAAGAGAACTAGAGAAAGCATTACATTCATTAGAACTTGCACTCTGCAGAGAAGCAATTTCTGGTAGGGAGTCCCCCCTCACTCCCTAAAAGAATCACTACAGAAAAAAGAACCAATGATAGTACTATTCCCTTTATATTACATTTTCATTTATAGTTTAAAACATGTATTTCCAACAAGTCTTTTAAAAAGAGAGAGAAAGAAACAACAACAACAAACAAAGCACAGAGAGACTAAATAAAGGGCTTCTTTGGTAACAGAGCTGGTCATTAGTCTTAAGGCCAAAATTTAAATCATTATTTGATGACTGTGATTCAAAAACACAAATTCAATTTCATAAGGAGGATCAGAAACCCAGAGAACTGCATTAACTTTATGGCAGTAAACATTTTATAAGCAATACTTACCAGTGACTGAGCTTTTCTTAGCTTAGATCTGTCCTGTAATTTCTTTTTCTTCTCATGTGTTTGTCGAGTGAGATCATCCTTTTTTTTCCGTCTGTAAATAGAAGAGCATTGTAAAAACTACAAATCGTGCATGTGGGTCTTTCCTCTTGCAATTTGGTTGTTTGTACAGCTATTTTATTTGATACTGTTGTCTCTCTGACTTTAAAGATCGTTTATTTTAGAAATAGCCTAAATATCTAGTAATAGAAAACTTGTCAAATAAACTCTGGCACATCAACTCAAAGAGTTCCAGAAGGTGAATATGTCTATAGATGATAGTACAGTAATCTAGGATATACTGTTACCTGAAAAGAAAGTTATTTTGTGTGCTATCATTTATTTATTCATAGGATCACTATGAGTAGTAGTTGACTCAATGGCACTTAACAAGAACAACCACCATCACTTAAGAGATTAAAAATATATGTATGGAAAAAAATATGTGGGTGCACCAGGGATATCATTGTGGATGTCAGTTGGATACAGGTTGAAAGCTGAGAATACCAGAAGAATGTCTATTTGTATTTTACTCACTATGAAAAAGTATTTAACTGTGTGGATAATAACAAACTATGGCTAATATGAGACGAATGGGAATCCTAGAACACTTTACTGCACTCATGGAAGCTATACCCAGACTAAGAAGCTGTTGTCATTGTCCGCATGTAGCAAGGGAACACTGCATGGTTTAAAATCTGGAAAGATGTGTGTCAGGGTAGCGTCCTTTCTCTATAGCTATTCAATCTGTATGCTGAGCAAATAATTCATCAAGCTACATTCTATAAAGAAGAATGTGGCATGAGGATTGAAGGAAGACTCATCAACAACTTGTGTTATGCAGATAACACAACTTTGTTCACTGAAAGTGAAGAGAATATGAAAGGCTTGCTGCCTTGGATTATGTCTCAACATCAAGAAAACAAAGGTCCTCACTATAGGACCAACAATCAATATTATGACAGACTGAGAAAGGTTTGAAGCTGTCAAAGATTTAATCTTGGTTGGATCAATAACTGACACCCTTGGTACCAGCAGTCAGAAAATCAGGAGAAATACTGCACTGAGCAAGTCTGTTGTCAGGGACCTCTCAAAATGGTGAAGAGCAATGATGTCAGTTTGAAAACTAAATTGAACCTATTCAGGGTGTGGTGTTCTCAATCACCTTCTGTGCATCAGAGAGCTGGACAATGAATAAGGATTATAGAAGAATTGATGGCTTTGAATTGTGGTGCAGGAGAAGAGTATTGAATATCCCATGGACAGCCAAAAAAGCAAACAGAAATGTCTTGGAAAAAGTGCAGCAAGAATGCTCCCTTGAAGTTATAACGGCAATGTTTCATCTTTCATAATTTGGACATGTAGCTAGGTGAGGCTATTCCTCGGAAAGGGACATCATGCTTGGGAAGATGGAGGGTCAGCAAAGGAGGGGAAGACACCTAATGGGATGGACTGACATAGTGAATTTAGCAATGGGCTCTAGTGCATCAGAGATGATGGAGATGGAGCAGGATAGGGCAGGGTTCAGGTTGAATTGACTGTTATGGGTTTTACACACACACACACACACACACAGTTGTTGTTGTTGTTGGGTGGTATTAAGTATGACTCATAGTGATCCTTTGAACAATAGCCCTGAACCCTGCCCTATTCTATGTCTTTGACATATCTGCTCCCATTGCCACAGTTACTTTGTCAGTCTCTCATTCAGGGTCTTCCTGATCTTCTGAACAGACCTTCTACCCTTCGAAGTATGATGTCCTTCTCCAAGGACTAACCCCTCTTAGTAACATGTCCAAAGTATGTGACATGGAGCTTCAAATCCTTGCCTCCAGAAAGCAACCTGGTTTCACCTTCTCTAGGAAATAATTGTTTGTTTTCTTGGCAGTTCATGGTTTGTTCAATATTTTTCTCCAACACCACAACTCAAAGGCATCGGTTATTTTTCTGTCATCCTTAGTCACTGTCCAGCTCTCAGATGCATAGCAAGTAATTGAGAAAACCATAGTACACCAGGTGTACTATAGTCTCTAGACTGACATAATTGCTTTTCAGCACTCTGGAGAAGTCCCTCTCTTTTGATTTGCTTTTGAAGCAACTCATTTGATTTCCTGACTGGTGGGCCACGAGTCTGTAGATTGTGGCGAGCAAGATGAAATTGTTAGCAATCTCAATCTTTTCTCCATCTATCATGATGCTGCCAGTTGGCCTAGAGAGGGAAATATTTGTTTTCTTGATGTTGACGTACAATCCATATCGAAGACTTCAGTCCTTGACCTTCAATGGCAAATGGTTCAGGTCCTCCTCAGTTTCAGAGAGCAAGGCTGGTATCATCTGCATAATGCAGGTTGTTGATGAGTTTTTCTCCAATCCTGATGTCACATTCTTCTTCATAAAGTGCAGCTCCCCAATGACCTGTTCTGCATATAGAGTGAAAAAGGTACAGAGAAAGATTACATCCCTGGCATACTCCCTTCGTAATTTTGAACGCTGCAATGTTTTCTTGCTATGCTTGTACAACAGCTTCTTGGTATAGGAAAAGGTTTCGCACAAGCACAATCAAGCGTTCTGGAATTTCTATTCTTCTCAATGTTAGCCACAACTTGTGGTGAGCTACATGGTCAAATTCCATCCTTCTGTTACTTTTCCATTTCAGCAAAAATCCATTTGACATTGGCTATGATATCCCTAGTGTCGTGGCCTTTTTTAAACCCAGCCTGTATTTCTCTGGCAGTTCTCTGTTAGGTGCTGTTCTATTACTTTTTGGAATCTTCAGCAAAATTTTGATTACATGTGGTATTAGTGACATTATTGGATACTTTCCACCTTCTTTTTGGAATAGGACTAAATATGGACCTCTTCCAGTCAATTCTCCAGATTTCTTGGCACAACCCAATGAGCACATCCAGGGCTGAATCTGTTTGTTGAAATATGTTCATTGTTATTCCATTGATTCCTGGGGCCTCATATTTGTCAATTCTTTCAGAGCTGCGAGAAGTTCTTCCTTTATCATCAATGGTTCTTGATCATTTGCTACTTCCTGAAACAGTTCTGTGTCAGCTAAAGTATGTATATATGTATGTATGCATGTATGTATTTATTTTGTAAGGAACTGTGTATTCCTTCCATCTTCTTTTGATGCTTCCTGGATCATTCACTCTTCTGTCCATAGCATCTTTAAGATGGCAACTTGAGGCTTGAACTTGTTCTTTAGCTCCTTGAGCTTAAGAAATGTCAAGCAAGTTCTTCCCTTTTGATTTTCTGACTTCCGCTCTTGGCACTTTTTTTTTTACATTTTATTTATTTATTTTACTTGAATGCCGCCAAATTGGATACGACTAGCACAGGAGGAGATTGCCCCTCTTTCACCAGCAGAGCATCTGGTGGAATCAAACCACATGCCTTCAGGACTGCAGTGCAGCTTCTTGCCACTAGTCCACCAGAGCTCTCTACATTTCTAAATATTATAAAATACATTACATTATAAAAGACTTTGCCTTGTCTTCATGAGCTGCCCTTTGAAATCTTCTGTTGAACTCTTTAACTTCTTGATTTCTTTCCTTTGACTTCTTGAAGTTCTAGTGCAATATTCAGAGTTTTTACTGACATCCACCTCAGTCTTTTCTTTCTTCTTTGTCTTTGTAATGAACTTTTGCTTTCTTGATGGGCAATATTCTTGATATTATCACATAGCTCATATCATCTTTGTTTATGAGGTTCTTAGTATTCTAGTATTGAAATATTAGGCATTGGTGAGCTGAGAAGGATTGACATGGGCCATTTTGAATCAGATAATCATATGATCTACTATACTGGCAATAAAAAAGTGAGGGAAAATGGGGTCACATTTATAGTCAAAGAAACAATTTCTAGATCCATCCTGAAATACAATATTGTGACAGGATATTATCTATATTCATACAAGGAAGACTTGGTAATACCACTATCACTCAAATATATATAGCCACAACTAGAGCTAAAGAGGAGGAATTAGAAGATTTCTGCCCAAGGAAATAATGAAATATTATGCAAAATGGATGACCCTGGAGGACATTATGTTGTTGTTGTTGTTATGTGCCGTCGAGTCGTTTTCGACTCATACCGACCCTATGCACAACAGCCCTAAACCCTGCTCTATCCTGCGCCAACCGCACTGCCTCTGACACACCCATCCCGATTACCCCAGTCACCGAATCAATCCATCTCATAGAGGGTCTTCCCCTCCTGCGCTGTCCCTCCACCCTCCCAAGCATGATGTCCCTCTCCAAGGACCCATCCCTCCTTGCATCGTGTCCAAAGTATGTCAGACGAAGCCCCAGAATCCTTGCCTCCAAGGAGTAGCTTGGTTTAATCCTCTCCAAGATGAATCTGTTTGTTTTCCTGGCAGTCCATGGTACATTCAGTACCCTTCTCCAGCACCACAGATCAAAAGCATCCACTCTCCTTCTGTCCTCCCTAGTCATTGTCCAACTCTCTGATGCATAACAAGCGATTGCAAATACCATGGTCTGTATCAGGCGCACCTTAGTCTCCAGAGAGACACCGTTGATACTGAGTGAAATATCTCAGTCACAAAAGGACAAATATTGCATAGGGCCACTGTTGTAAAACGGGACTGACATCACTGAGGGAAGACAGAAAAGGATGGGAGAAATGATGTCTATTACATTGAAACAGATGAGGGAGAGAAGTATTTAAAAGGGATATATGAATGGGTATTCTTGTTATTACAGAAGTCCAGAGTGAAGGCTGCATAGTGGAGTGGACTTGGGGAGAAAGATTGCATAACAATGAAAGAGTTTTTCTTTCTTTTCAAGAAGAGTTAATTAGGGGGGAGGGGAGGTTGGGAGAAAAGTGCAACAATGAATGACTGGAAATCCTTAAAAAAAATAAATTTCTGCCAAATTTTACACTCTGAAATAGGTCAAACATGCAACCGAGATTCATTAATGATAATAACAACTGGTGACTGGAATGCAAAAGTTGCAAATAAAGAAGGATCGGGAATTGGAAAACATCGACATGGTGACAGAAATGAGAGTGGAGATAGAAGGA